GGGCAGAACGAGGGGGGAAAGGGTTGAAGAAGAAGAAGACGGGGGTAGGGGGTGGGGGAGGGGGGAGGGGGGCAGAACGAAGGGGCCCGGTAGGGGCTGAAGAAGAAGAATAGTATTATTTATTTATTTATTTATTTTTTTAATAAAGAAAAATCATCAGCTCACGCACCTAATGTGCGTGTAAATCACTTATTTTGTCCACCTCAGCTATATCAATGCCACATAAGCCCGGTCAACGGTCAGAAGGGTTTAAAAGTCTTGTTTTGATTAAGTTGAAGTGTCTAGATGAAACTTTATGGAGTGTAGGGATCGGGATGACAAACCGGAACAAGTACAAGTGTCTCCCAGGCTATTCTGCCAACAACAAAATAATAAGATGATTCAGATGAACAACAACAAAGCGAAAGTGTATATTCTTTTCTCAATGATTGAATAATACGTTACAAATGATTGGAGTCTCCTTTATATAATAGTGGAATCCTAAATAAGGTACAATTCTAATTGTAGCAGGAAATCTTACTATACAGCTGTCTAACTGGTACAAATCCTTTCCGGAATTTACGTCGTGATCATAGGGCCATCGCGGGAATCTCGCTCTTTCTGTTATATAACTGTAACGGTATTATCTCGAGGTTGGTCGTACTCGGCCCCGGCGTTCATCGAGCATTCCGATCTTCGAGTATAGTATTCTGCCATCGGGCTCGAGCCCGGCTCATATCGAATTTGATTCTCGATGCGACCCCTCGAGCCTACAAAATCGGGGGCATGTATTTTACCGTATATAGATAGTCCCCGCGTTTCTTAGAATAAAATGATAAGAAACGATTTGAGCCTCGATTATTTAGAGTCCTTGATGGTGACGTCATTCCCGTGACGTAGAGCTCGAAGTGACCGAAACGTCCAGTCGGTTCGCTTCCCCAAACATTAAACGCTTCACCAGTAGTGGTCGGCCACTAGCGCCGTCGAATCGTCGCCGCTTGTCTATAAATACAAGGTTCAATTTCGAAAAAACTTTACTTCAATGTTCAGACCGCCTTCAAACTTCTTTTACCTCTCCCTCTCTTCATCTCTTCTCTCATTACCCGTTACCTGATTCCTTTTAGCGCCGAGAAAAAACACCAAGTTCCGCCTACTTCTGCCTCTACTAATCCAAATCAATGGCAAAAACTTCCAAAACAGTTCCTCAAAAGGAGAAAGCTTCCTCCTCCTCTTCCCGGCCGGCCAAACTTGTGGCGCCGGCCCTTCACGAGATTATTCTCGACCCCTACGTAATAAAGAAAGACTTTAACGTTGAAAATCCCCCCGCAATCTCTGGCCGATGCGAGCATGTATCATGGTATATCAGCTCGATAACGAAGAAGTACCTCAAGGCCGTGAAGAAAGACTGTGGCTGGGGGGACGAGGTCGTGGTACAGATTCCCGACCCCGAGGAGAGCATTACCACTCATGTGGAGGGGTTCCTAAGTGTTTACACTTACCCCTGCACACTGGGTTCCCTCGATCCAATCGTGATCGACCTCTGCAAAAGATCTTTCTGGCGTATAGTGATTATGCTTCGTTACTTCTCTAGCAAGGCCGAGGGACTAGAGTTCACCCTCAATCAGCTCATCCGATTGTATCGGCCTCACCTTTTCCGAGGATTGATTAAACTCCAATGCCGATCGAGCAAAACCTTCTTCGCTAGTAATGACGAGGATAAGGATCGAGGCTGGATGAGCCGGTTCGTCCAAGTGAGGACCTCGGACGTCATCCCCGAGGGAAAAATGCCGTTCCTAGAGAAATGGAACCCCGATTGTAAGTGAAGTCCTTTTCCCAGTATCCTCTTATATTCCGTTTTTGCATTGTGTGATGCCTTTACCTTTTTTGCAGTGGTTGCTTGGATGCCCCATGCGAACCCCGACCTCGAAGACTGGGTCCGAAAATTAGCTGCGACCTCCTCATATGACGAGCGAAAATGGCGTGACTTGTCGAGGGGCAAATGGGACGCAAAACGCCACGGTTAGTTCTTCTCCCAAATCTTTGATGCTTTTCCTTTTATCGGAGATGCCATCTTACTTATGTCTAATTTTATTCATGCAGATATTGGGGATATCTCTA